TATTCATCGCATTAGTGTTAGCCAGTAAGAAAAAGTTTGCAGACTGACTTCATCTTCATCAAGGCGCTGGTCTTCAGTTAATTTCATGTGCTGTTTGGCTGAAGTTCTGTCTTTTGTGTGGAATGAATGATGCCCATCCTTCAGTAGTTCCAACCTTTAGGTTAATTGATCCTGCCCTTGTTGTTCTGTCCGTGGCATCATTGGTTTCCAAAGGAGTCAAAAGCGTGTCTTTATGCTTCTTACTCTACTGGGTTAATATTGAAAAGTAATCATTAACCAGCTGATCGTTCTAGGTGTGTTCGTAAATTCAATCTGAAATCGACAGAGAATCATCTGAACTGTTCAGAAATTCAGTTTCAGGAGCACTGTGCACAACAGCACTGTGCACAGTAAAAATACTGTCACAGAAAACCTCCTGTAGCAGATCATTGTGTATGGTATTTGTATATTTGTTTTTATTTCCATCATTTCAAAATCAGTCTATAATAGTGATTTGTTCAAAACAATGTTGAAGTTTGTTACTCAAGAATGTTAATTGAGTGAATATGGGAAAATTAAGCAATTCTGTTCTTTTTTTTCTTTCAAACTAACAAGAAGTACAGACAAAAGTACTGTTAAAGTACCAGATCAATAAGTAGTATCGATAAAAGTAGTTAACCATGTCTACTCTCAACTGTGTTAACTTTCAATGAAGAGAGGTTTGCTTGATCCCCAGGTTTATTGCGCTTTACTATAAATGGCAAGGTCAGCAGTGACAAGAATAAGCTCTTGCCCCAGCTGTGAGGGGAGCTGTGTAAGACGAATCAGAAAATGGTGAAAACCACTCAGAGTGCTTTACAGTAATTGCCACATTCACCCATTCACTCACATTCATACAGCACACAAATAAAGGTGGAGGACTGGTTCTGCTTGTGAACAATAGATGGTGCAACCCTGGTCATATCACAGTGAAGGAGAAGATCTACTGTTGGGATATTGAACTGTTGGCAGTTGGTCTTACACTGTACTATGTACCGAGGGAGTTCTCACACATCGTCGCCATTGTTGTTTACATTCAACGACGAGCAGAGTCTGCAGTTAACGAGATCATTCACGAGACTGTTGCGAGAGTACAGACCCAGCACCCTGATGCATTCATTGCAACATCGGGGGATTTTAACCATGTCATGAGGACCATCACTGGCTATAAAGAGAAGAACAGCCAGGCAACACCAGGTGATGTAGACAATGAGTTCAACCTGTTCAACAGGTTTGAAACAGCCTCACCTGTTCTCTTTCCCACTGCTTCAGCTGTGGGAGAGAGACACTGACACTGCAGCTGCAACTCCCTCCACACTGGGGTCAAGTCCTTTACAGTGGAGGAGGTGAGGACAGAGCTCAAGAAGCTACATCCTGGAAAGGCAACAGGCCCGGATGGTGTGTGTCTGAGGCTGTTAAAGGACTGTGCAGACCAGCTGGCTGAGCCTTCAACTAAAGTCTACAAACAGGGAGGGTCCCAGTGCTGTAGAAAACATGTCTTGTTCTGGTACCTAAAGTAGGGTGACCGGCTACGATAAATGACTACAGACTGGTGGCCCTCACATCACACATCATGAAGACTCTGGAGCGGCTGCTTCTCCACCATCTGAGGCCACAGGTTGAACATGCACTAGACCCCCTACAGTTCACCTACAAAGAACATATTGGAGTGGATGATGCAGTCCTTTACATGCTCCACTGGGCCAATTCTTATTTGGATGAGCCAGGTGGTTACATGAGGATTATGTTCTTTGATTTTTCAAGTGCATTTAACACCATCCAACCCCCCATCCCTAAAGACAAGCTGGAAGGGATGAGGGTGGATCCCTGCTTCACGTCCTGGATTGTGGATTACCTGACATGACGACCACAGTACGTCAGGCTGGGTAACTGTGTCTCAGGGACAGTGATGAGCAGCACTGGGGCTCCACAGGGGACTGTTCTGGCTCCGTTCCTGTTCACCCTGTATACGGCCGACTTTAAATACAACTCTGAGTCCTGCCACATCCAGAAATACGGATGACACAGCTATTGTGAAGTGTATCAGGAATGGGCAGGAAGAGGAGTACAGGGATCTGACGATGGCCTTCAGTGAATGGAGCAACAAGAACTGCCTCCTTCTGAACACCTCCAAGACCAAGGAGATGGTCATGGACTTTCGGAGGTCTAGGCCCACCCTTCAGCCCGTCAACATTCGAGGGAAGGACATTGAGGTGGTGCACACTTATAAATACCTAGGTGTGCTCCTGGACAGTAAACTGGACTGGTCCCTGAACACAGATGCCATCTACCGGAAGGGGCAGAGCCGGCTCTTTTTCCTCAGGAGGCTCAGGTCCTTTGACGTCTGCAGTGAAATGCTGCATATGTTTTATCAGTCAGTGGTGGACAGTGTAGTCTTTTATGCTGCAGTCTGAGAGACGCATACAATGTAAGCTGGAGACCATCTTGGACAATACCAACCATCCAACACCTCAGCCAAAGGATGTGGACTAATCTAATTATTTTTTTATTATTATCAACAATGAGCTAATGGACACATGAATTTCCCCTAAGGGATAAATAAAGTATCTATCTATCTCTCTATCTATCTATCTATCTATCTATCTATCTATATATCTAATATGATCAGAATCTCTCAGAATCTCTCATGATTATGTTTTTCATATCAGTCTATATCGATATATGTCACGATATAAATCAAATCACCATTACTGTCAAGCTTAAAGGTTCCTTTTTACTCCCAAGTCAGATGTGAAGATATCATCAGGTTAATTTTGGTTAAATCTATTTTTTTTTCTGTCAGAAGTTGAACATGAAAAATATACTGTAGAACATTATACAACTGTATTTCAAATAAATAAAATAGGTATATATTATGAAATAAAATCTTAAATCTGACCATGAAAAGCTTCATCTGGGACTGTAAAGTCTTGCATTGTACGTGCTCTGTAGGATGGCACTGCTTCAGATGGTAAAAAAGATTAGTGGTATTAACTGTCTTTGTTGGAACATGCTTTTGACACAGTTTGCAGTGCACGCTGCTCTGTTTCTTATCGGACTTTAATTAGTCATAGTATCTCCACACTACTGAATTCCTCTGACGACTCACAACAATATCCTCGTCTCTTGAGCCTTGGGCTGTGTCTGTTGGGGTATCCTCTTCGGTAAGGCTGTCGCTTGAGTTTTCATTAACATTGTCTGCCGTCATTTACTCTTTTATCTCTCTCCCACACCTGACGTACTGGTGGGCATGGCTGTAGTAGCCCAAATATTAGCATGTGTGCCGGCACCGGCTGCTAATCCAATCCTGTGCTGTGTGAGTCAACCTAACCTGATGTGGCAAGGCTATCTCATGATCATTAGCTGTTTGTGGTATTAGTCAAAACATAGAGTACTATCAACGTTCTATCAACCATGTTTTATATTTCTATTGAGGAAAAGTTATTTTGTGATAATTATCTTTATTGTTTTATCGCCCAGCCCTACCTGAGAGGTTTTTCTCCATCTGCAACATGATTGGTTAAAGCAGGAAGGGACAATCTGGTAATCTGGCAAAATGGTGGACTTTTGTGGTGGTCTGTCCTCATCTGTATATGACTGTGGCCATCACATGTGTGGTCTGCTTCCCATCAACAGTCTCATCATTCTGAGTTGTTAGCATCAATCATATCATGATAGGAGATTCCACTGAGACCCCTGATCAGCAGACACAGATGTGATTGACTGTCTCACTTCAGTGTATAAAGCAGATATGCGCATGCGTTGGTGTCTGTGTGTACCTGTTAGACGCACTGTTAGACAGCTGACCTTGTGTTGTAGCTGCTGATTCTGAAGAGAACTTGGTTCACTCTCAGTTAATCCTAAGAAGGTTGCTGCTGTCGAGGAGAAGAGTGTTGCAGTCTGCTGTGAGCAGGCCGGTAAGAGCTGTGTCTCAGGTAGCGGGACTGACCTGAATTGATCATCAAAATGGTTGGTCCATTTTCCATTCATCAACTAGTCAGGTGGCACAATATACAAAAAAGTCATATTGCGATTATTTTGGCAGATATAGCAGTTTCAGTTGGATTTTTTTTTTTTCATTTCATTTTCAATGAAAAAAGCACTGATGGTGCTAACAATGCACAACAATGTGACACATTTACCTTCATCAAAAAAACTGCAGCTCCTGTGATTTGGATTATATTTCAATTCCTTGTGCAGTTGTATCAACCAGCCAGCCTTAGAATGAAGATATTTTTGATGTTGCTTTATATCCTTTATGGCCTAAGCTTGTTCTATTCCATTACCAGTCTACAATGTAATGTGTTATTCAGCTTGTTAGCCATTTTCTGTTTATTAAGGTAGGTTATTTTACCCAACATGAACACATTGTGGTCAGAGTAATATGTTTGTAACTGTTTTTGTATTTCGTTGTTGTTGTACACTTATCAAACCAATCCTCCCAGGTTCTTTTACTTATCCCTCCATTGATGTGATTGAGGGTAAGGAAACTATAAAAACTGTGGCACTATGCAGTCTGTACACTCAAGACTCTAATCTGTTCTGTTGTCAGTCACTCATTAGAACTGTCAATGAGATCAAAGGCAAAGAGATGCAACTTTCACAAGTGAAAAGATTTGGTGACTTTTAGCACCATACCATTAATTCACCACATGCACCTGTAGACCGTTCCTTGGTGGTGATACAGTATCTCTGCCATTATTTACCATCAAAGAGATGATCAGTGATTAATGTGCTTGGACCCTTTTATACCAGCTTGCAAGTTTAGTTATCATCATCATTATTATTACAATATCCCATATCTCTGTTGTTTGATGATACCTGATATTCTTGTATTACTTATCTGTTACAGCACCATAGCAGTAAATGACATCATTGACTTGACTTGCTTTGCTCATATGAAGAGTAGAGTTAAGGTGTGGTTCTTGTTTTAGTCCAGTTTAGTCCAGAGTTTGTTTACACTCCCCTCCTGCTCTCTTCAGCTGGAACAACGTACATCTTTGGCAAAGGAGGAGGCCTCATTACATTCAAGTGGCCAGCCAATGAGAGGCCAAGCACCAGGACAGACAGGTTGACCGTCGGCTTCAGTACGTCCCTCAAAGATGGCATTCTGGTCAGGATCGACAGTGCTCCAGGTCTTGGGGACTATCTCATGCTGCACATAGTAAGTTCCCACAAACATCTTCATCTCATTTATGTTTGGTCATGTCCAAGATTCCCTTTGTTTTGTTTTCTAACTATTTCACCTTTATTGTTTAGTGTGTCCAGTCTGTGCTTTATTATATCTTTGCTGTGTTATATTTACCACTACTGCCTCAGTTTGTAAAATATTTCAAAAACCTTGTTTTCATATCCAGTGTTTGTAAGCATATGAACACATCCTTTTCAAGTTGCTGGAGTTCATTGATTTTGAAGTTTTGGTAAAATGTAGTCATAGCCCACAGGTTACAGCTAGTAACTGAGAAAGTCTTCAAACATATTGAATTTACAAGGACATACTGGTGTTTTTTTTATTGATTGTAATCAATACTTTTACAGATGCAATTTTATAAATACACTTCTTCAGCCTGGACAAATGAATACAAAAAGAGATGGGGAGGTGTGTTTGGCTTGTTCACATGTAGATTTGAGTGAATTTTTCTACCTCTACAGAGTGGTGGTGATGATGCCTTAAAAACACAGACTGTGTCTTTGAATTGTGTCAATATGTTATTACAAAAGCCTAACACAACAAACTGTTTCCATGGAGGAATACTTTACAGTCAACATTGTCTGAATAGCAATAACACACACACATACACACACACACACACACACACACACACATACACCAATATACACATATACACGTACACGCACACACGCACACACACACACACACTCAGACACAGTTAATGTGTTGGGTGCAGCAATTTTAATAATCATAAATTCAGTATTATTCCACAAGAAACCTAAAGTGAGGGAGCTGGAGAGCATGGTCTTCACCAAGGTAAAATAACCACCCATGTGCACATTGACTGTGTTCAACAAAACAGACAAATAAAGGAAGTTCATTTGTTTTATGTTGTGCTTTTATTTTGGGAACCCCTTCTAATCCCTCTCTCGTTGAGGTCTGCTTCCAGAGGAGGGTTTTCAGGGAGTGAACATGTGAGAGTGAATGCAGCCGCAGGACTCCAGCTGATGTCACAACCATGTAGTCACAGCAGAGAGTGGATTGGGTACAGGGGTCTTCAATAAGTGTGCCTTGGTCAGGTTGAATCTGCTGCTCCTCTTTAGTTTATTTTGTTGGGACTCATCATTCAAGAGACCAGATGTTTCTTTTCTCCACTGGATAAAGGAACTCACACTCCACAGTTCCTCACTGTTCACACCTGGGGACGACCCTTCCCCCCATGGACCTGACTGGCCAGCCAGTGTGGGTCAGCGTGTGACATGTGACCCCCAAGGGTGTCACCAAACAAAACCAGATCTCTTGTCCCTCTTCTCTCTCTCTTCTCTTCTTGGCTTGCTCTGGAGAGCAGCTCCTGCTCTCTCCTCTCGGCTCTTCAAAGGGCAACAAGGCCCCAGCCCAGGTCAGCCCTGGAGTCATAGCAGAGTTAGCGTGGAACAGCTAACTCTGTGAGGAGAACAAAGGAGATAACAGCAAGGCAACACAGCCAGACAGGACTTTACTCAACTAGGAAGCCTCCCAACTCACTGGACTTTACAACAACACTGGAAAGGACCTCTTTGTTTGTTCCAAGGACTGAGTAACGTTAACTGACTGGGCCTAACCTTTCCCAGCACAGCATAGCACAGCACAGTATAGCTAAGCAGCAGAAGTCTTAACTTTGTTAATGTACTTGTTGATTGATGTCTTGTTGTTGTAATGTTTGCTTAGGTTGTGGTCAGTCATACAGTTAATCAGGTACTCGTATGTTCACACACACAGTAGTACGTCTCAGTTCTAGAACCTGCATGAAGCTAACCTCCTCCCTTTAACCCGGTACCTTTAGATTACATGAGCTAGGCTAACAAAGAAACTCACACCTTCACTCCCACACAAACACCAGGTGGTCTTAGCAGCCATTTTGAGTAGTCTCTTTCTTTCTCCTCCACAGGAAGCTACCCCCCATAGTGTAGGCCACCGCATTGTTTAATTAGGCTAGTGTACTGCCAAACTACACTACGAGGTGTCTGCCAGCGCAACACCACAGCTAACTACATTGACTTCTTGTTTGCTAAACAACTTGTTTAATCTCCCTATTTCCCAGACACGACAATGGAGAACTCCTGTGTAGAGCAGTTTATTTCTTCCCTAGCACAGAGCCTGAAGCCTGGCTACCTAGAATTTATCAACAAGTTAAATTCCAGTGAGTGCAGTAAAGAAATAGACTTGCTACTCAGTGACAGAGGTGATGCTCAGACTGCATCCAAAGGCCAATTGTTAAGATGTGTGCTATTGAACTTCCACAGGCAAACCAGTATTGCCCTTCAGAGCCAAGCAGCCCTAGAGGAGGAAGTAAAATCACTTAGAGCTCAAAATGCTTTTCTCCTCCAGGAAGTTAAGGAAGCTAACAAGAAAGCCATGCGCTACTTAGGAGACCTGCATGCAGCAGAGTTAGATCTCTGTTCCCACAAGGAAGAATTGTTAAGGGTTAAATCAGAATGCCTTACCCCACCACAAGCGTACAGTGCTTGTGATTCTGGTTTTTCTGCTTCACACCCTTCCCTTAATGACAGGTTAACTCCGCCTCCACTCAGAAGATGGGACCAATTCCCAACTGACCCTAAGTCCTGGGAAATTAAGTCAGCTCCTCAACCTCCACTGAGAGACAGAGGTTACACCCTCCTGCCTTCCCATCTTCCTGAAATGGACACTGAAGAGACAGGTAGGTTATCCGGTAGAGGATATTCATGTTCCCATCAGCCACTGATGCATAACACTTTCACCTGTGCTCCCCCCTCCAACAAGAGGACCAAATCTTTTCCGGACTGTTCAGCCTCCTCTCTGCCCCTCCATGAGAGTGATGACAGCTGCTCAGCTCCTTCCTCTAGTCCAGCTAGCTTAGTCTCACCTTCATCAGAAGGGACCTCACAGCCAGCCCGCCTCGAAGTGCTTGAGTTCATAGCAAAGGACATTGAACATTTTGATCCAGACAACTTTGATCAACATATTGAAAACTACTTTAGGGAGTTAGATCACAACCTAATTGATTTGCCCCATGCAACCCAAAGGGAGAGAACTAAACTTGTGTGGAAGACCAACTCAAAAGCAGCCACAAGTTTATGCAATCACTGTCTCCCAGTGTCAGAGATGACTACAAAGAGCTCCGTCAAGCACTGACAGAAGAATTCTCTCCTGCTGCGGATGAGATAGAATCTTTGGTTGCAGCTTTTCAAATCAAACAATCCCGCAATGAACATCCCAATGACTTTTACAAACGTTTGAGGCATGCATATTTTCAGGGTAGGAACACACCAGGCTTAGAGGAAAACTCCACCTTCAAGTCTTTGTTCCTGCGGAACCTCCATCCCTGTGTATACACTCATGTTACACTGATGACGCATCAAGGTAAGCCCACCATGCAGGAAATAAAGAAGATGACAAAAATGGCTTGGGAAACCATGGCCATTTCCAAGGCAAGGGGTAAAACAACTGAGCCTAGCAGCTCAAACACCTTAGCGTCACACAGACATGTAACCTCAAAAGATCCCCCTCAGAACAGATTTAAGGAGGGTGACAAAAGGCCACATACGGGCGCTGAGCGTAACCGCTACGTCCACCAAGTGCGTAGAGATAGGCACTCCCACAATAGGATCAGGAGACGGCCTTATGCAGAAATTCTGGCTCAGACACAAGATCAGTCAACTCATGGATCAGATAATAACCACGTCATCTCTGACCATGTTATCACAGAAAGTGACAATGCCTCTGAATGTTCTTTCTTCAGCTACTCAGAGAGTTACAGCTTTGTGCCACAAGTTAGGGAAAACTTAAAACGTTCCAGAGTTCGCCGCACTGAGTACTGACAGTAAGTAGGCTCAGGGTACCCTACACTCTTGCAGATGGACACAATGGGTTTGTCAGCAGCAGCAGCAAACTAAATTCTGAATTGAATCAGACACTACTGTCAAATTCTGCAGGTAGGTAGGTAACTCCTTAGTCGTACTTTACAGGTGAGATTAGTAAAAATGTCCTGTCATCTGATACAAGTTTCATTTCACATTCTAGGTGCCACCCTCTATATTTCACCTTAACAAACTAAGATCACTGACTTTCCGGTCCTCACTAACACTATGCATAACTAGGAAACATGTTAGTTGTTTTACACTATTCTATCATTGTGGTTATTATCTGAATTCTGCTTTGTAACCTGATTGTTCTTGCTTAGCCAAGACAGATAGTGTTGACAAATGCCCGGATGTTACCCCTTGAATGAACTGACAAATGAACTATACATTATGCTCTCAGGATGACAGATCAGGTGGCATCCTGACAACAAAAGGGCGACTATTGGGACTCATCATTCAAGAGACCAGATGTTTCTTTTCTCCACTGGATAAAGGAACTCACACTCCACAGTTCCTCACTGTTCACACCTGGGGACGACCCTTCCCCCCATGGACCTGACTGGCCAGCCAGTGTGGGTCAGCGTGTGACACGTGACCCCCAAGGGTGTCACCAAACAAAACCAGATCTCTTGTCCCTCTTCTCTCTCTCTTCTCTTCTTGGCTTGCTCTGGAGAGCAGCTCCTGCTCTCTCCTCTCAGCTATTCAAAGGGCCCCAGCCCAGGTCAGCTCTGCTACCTGAGAAACCAGCTCCCTCGCCAGCCTGCTCACAGCAGCCTGCAAACACTCTTCTCCTCAACAGTAGCGACCTGCTTCGGATTAACTGAGAGTGAACCAAATTCTCTTCAGAATCAGCAGCTACAACACAAGGCCAGCTGATTTTCCAAGCAACAGGAGTCATAGCAGAGTTAGCGTGGAACAGCTAACTCTGTGAGGAGAACAAAGGAACGCAGCCAGACAGGACTTTACTCCACCAGGAAGCCTCCCAACTTACTGGACTTTACAACAACACTGGAAAGGGCTTCTTTGTTTGTTCCAAGGACTGAGTAACGTTAACTGACTGGGCCTAACCTTTCCCAGCACAGCATAGCACAGCACAGCACAGCATAGCTAAGCAGCAGAAGTCTTAACTTTGTTAATGTACTTGTTGATTGATGTCTTGATGTAATGTTTGTTTAGGTTGTGGTCAGTCATGCAGTTAGTCGGGTACTCGTATGTTCACACACATAGCAGTACGTCTCAGTTCTAGAACCTGCATGAAGCTAACCTCCTCCCTCTAACCTGGTACCTTTAGATGACATGATCTAGGCTAACGAAGAAACTCACACCTTCCCTCCCACAAACACACCAGGTGGTCTCAGCGGCCATTTTGAATAGTTGCTTTGTTTACCGCCATCTTGTGTAGTCTTCTTTGTTCAGGTCATGTGAAGAAACTCACACCTTCCCTCCCACAAACACACCAGGTGGTCTCAGCGGCCATTTTGAATAGTTGCTTTGTTTACCGCCATCTTGTGTAGTCTTCTTTGTTCAGGTCATGTGGTCACAGTGACCACTTTGAATCAGCCATCTTACCTTTGTTTGTGTCTCCACAGACACACACACATACCCCTACACACACACATACACACACCTATATATATTAGTTTAGACATTGTGTTTTACTCTGCTCCATTGTAAATAAATGCCTTTAAGTATAACTACTGGTGTGTTTAATGTTGCACAAGCGTGAATATTGCCAACCTCTATTTTGTAGAATTCCAATCCTTCAATTTTAACTTACTGTTGATATGGTAATTTGGTTATAGTTAGTAAACTTTAATGGTTAATCAGAGTTCCAGATTAATGGTAATAAACTGAGACTAAAACCATATTGGCTATTTTGCTTATTAGTTTAGGCTGGTGCCCCGAGGACTTTAATTAATTTTAAAGTTATTATTTAACATTAATATTTTTAATATTAATATTTTTCTTAATTTATGATAGCCAATAAATTGATAGACAACCGAAATCCAACATATTTGGTGTCCAGCTCATGAGGTAGAGCTCAGACCCAACAATTTTATAGTATATTAAATATTCTACAGTAAAAAGGATATAATCATCGTTCAGGAGAGGAAGCTGCGAGACTGCTGTTGTTGTCCACCAGCTGCTACATGTCTGTGAGAGCTGTTGACCTTTGTGGTATTTGCTATTGTCACAAGAGCTCAGGAAGAAAGTCCCAGCTGGACTGATGCTGCTCATGTCTCCACTATGCTTTACACCTTATGACTGGTGGCCTTCATCCTGTTGTAAGGGTCCACCACCACCACAACCTTACACCTATGTTTCAGTGTTTATAATCAGCAAATGTGTTTTCTCATTTCAGCAACAAGGAAAGATTGGAGTGACTTTCAACATTGGAACAGTGGATATCAGTGTGCAGGAAAGCAGTACACCAGTGAATGATGGGAAGTATCATGTTGTCCGTTTCACCAGGAATGGTGGCAATGCTACGCTGCAGGTGGATAACTGGTCGATCAATGAACACTTTCCAACAGGTACAACACTAATTAATCAATGTAATATAAAACTAATCATCACATCAATCATTACATCTTAACGGTTCATAACAGTATTAGTTAATAATGAAAACATAAAAATTCCTAACAAGATCTAACGGCAGTTGGATCACGTCATTATGAGTCAGTTGAAGTCACTGTGCAGGATGTGCATCCAAAAGAAATTTAACTGCTGCTTCTCTTTTCACTTGTGCTTTTAAGCTTGAAAACAAGAATATACATGTGATTAAGTATATGTCAGTACCAGAAATCAGGCATACATTACTGTGCTTTTTTTCTACTCTTCTTTTTCTGAGCTATGAAGTGACAGCTGTGACAACTCTGTAAATCTGTCATTCTAAGAACTAATTAGATTTTAAAAAATGACTAATTGGAAACCTGATGCAGGAGTCACTGAAATACTCAAAATACTACAGATACATATATGCATGTATATACATATATACCAATGAGAAAAACTGAATCTGCTCACTTTGGTTCTTGAGGAATTTGCCTTAAATGCTTGACAGAACATAACACAAGTGTATCTAATGATAAAAGCAGGGCTGCCTGAGCTCTAAACAGACATTTATTTTACACTCACACTGTTTTCTTTCTGTGGCGATCACCTTACAATCTCAGAACCCCAACCCGTCACTGTCATTGACAAAAATAAGAATATTAGAATAATAATTGCTTTGGGTTTTTTTTTTACATGATTGCTCCACATGTTAATCATGTGGAGCAATCATGTAGTTGTTTTCCCCATGTTTTGCCCATGTTCCTTATAATTTATTATTTATATGTGCATTTATTGTGGATAGTTAAAATTGTTGATAGCAATGAATCAAATTATGAGTACTTGTAATACAAACAGTATGTTTTTATTTACCTATAAAAATATGAAGGCAAGGGGATACTGCATGACACATGGGTGTCAGGCTCTAGCAGCATGAGGAAGGGATGATGACATCATCACAAAAGCAGAATCAGAAAAGGTTTATTGCCAGGTAGGGTTTTTACTTACAAGATATATGGCTTGGTGTTTGGGGCAGTATACAAGAAACATATTAACAGGAAATAACAATAAAATGTCAAAATACTGCAACAGTCAAAAAGATAAATGTACATAGACAATGAAAAAACGATGAAAAAAAACTATGTACAAAAGTGTTGACAAAACTCCTGCTGAGCAGGATGTGCAAAAGATCACAGTATAGACACTATCTGTTCTGTGCAGGGATAGTATTTTTAATTAATACAAGGTGTTACTGTAATGTGGTTGTTGATAGTTGATGAGGCCAGATGCAGAAGAAAAGGCAGGTGCTGGTCCATCACTGAGGATGACTGTAACCATGTCTCTGCGACACACATATCACTACATTCATGAAAGTTTGTCCATCTATTTATCAAGTTATCTAACATTGCCAGTTGATAGTACAAAGGATGTTACTTACAGTTTCATTCATGTTGTAGGACTTATCCTGATACTGACCTCAGTCACTGTAGGTGTCCCTGAAAAAAGCCTTTTGAAGCTGTCACGAAAAATAAAATACAACAAAAAAAAACCAAAATAACCTCACATGGTTTCAAACCCAAATTTGTGCCCATAACCATTTATACACACATGTACATGCCCTTACAGAAGTTGATCTGCAATAAAGCCATACCACTATACCCCCGTATAGATGATAGCTTCTAAGATTGAACTTTTATTACCTACCTTACCTCTTACCTTTTTGAGACTCTTATTTTGAAAGTGTCTGTGCGTCTGCGTTTGGCAGTATTAATTGCATAAGGTTTTGCACAACAGAGCCAATAATCGCCTTTTACCATGTTGATACTTGTATTTTGAAGGTTAATCCAAATCGTGGAGATGGTGTTTGTGTGTTTCTGTTAATATATATGAGTGTGTGTGTGTGTGTGTGTGTGTGTGTGTGTGTGTGTGTGTTTTGTGTGTAGCAGTAGATCTGCCCAACAGAACCTCCAGTAAATTTGTTTTACCTGGTTGAGACTCTTATTTTCAAGGTGAATATCAAAAATGTAATATGGTGTTCGTGTGTGTCTGTCAATGTGTGTGTATGTGTGTGTGTGTGTGTGTGTGTGTGTGTGTGTGTGTGTGTGTGTGTGTGTGTATTGTTGTGTGTGGCAGTGGAGCTGTCTACCATAGAGCCTCCAAAAAGCTTGTGTTACCAGGTTGAGAGACTTATACAGTAGTAGCTAGTAATATCCATATGGTGGTGATGGTGTTTGTGTGTCTGTCAATGTATGTGTGTGCGTGGTGTTGCTTAAGCTTAACCTTCAAACAGCCCTTTGAAGTTTTCAGGACTGGCCAAAATGACCTCACAATAATGTTTTTTAACCAAAGTTGCCCTCACAATTATAGAAAGACATGTACACACATGCAAAGAACCACACATCACACACACACACACACACACAAGTACACACAAATACAAAGTGCTGATTTAAGAGTTCCCATACCTGAGTTAGGTTAAGGCTAAGGTAAGGTTAAGAGTTAATCAGTCTAATTAGCCAATCAGAGTCAGCTTTGCCCATTTCTGCCCATTAACTGTCAGTAGCACCAGCTGAGACACTGGTTGCTATAGTGACTGTGGCCACCAGGGGGGCACACACAATCCCCTCTATCTCCCTAGGCAGACAACAGCTTTTAAGATGAAACTTGTGTTTGAAAATTAAAACTAATAGTCATATTGAAAAGATCACCTAACCACAACTGACCAAGACTTCCTTAAAGAGCTTAAAGGGCAAGAGCTTCAGAGCTCAATTTCACATGGATGTCTGTGGGAGCTTTGGACAGCCCTCTCTGCACTTTGGGGGGATTTCCTCAAAAACCACAAAAGATATCAGAATGAGACCAAAACTGGGTGATACAGGACAAAAAAAATTTCTACATTTTTGATAGTAGTCAATAGTCAATGAAGGTTGGAAATTGTAGGATTTAAAAGAAGTTTGTCTGACATTTTTGAGGAAAATTTTCAGGGATTGCAGTTAGAGTACGCTGTTAGCTTCGGTTAGCAAGTGGAGCTGTGCCTAAAGTAAGACAGCAGACATTGCTGAAGATGTAATAAATATCACAATTCTCTACACTGAAGTTACAACAACATCACACCGAGCAGGAGAGAGAGCAAGATGCTACTGCTAACTGGTGAGCTAAAGTAACGAGCAGATCTGAACAGCATGTAAACAACCACTGAGTTAGTGAAAGTCGCTAAAGGGAACAGAGAGCTGTGTGTGCTGGAGCAGGTCTAGTGTAAGTTTAAATGTACAGCAGGTTAGACACTGTAATGAAGAAAACAGCAATATTAACTGTGTTCAGACAGAGCAGCAATAAACTCTACCAGTAACAGAAACTGACTGGAGATGAGACACCACACTGACGTCAGCACGTCAACACATGAACGGCATCACTAGTATTACTGAAAATACATCAGTAGAAGTAAATCACTGTGTAAGAATTTATTTCAGATAAAAGAACAAAGTAAATCAATTAAAATGTTTCTGAGTAAATGTTTTTCTGTGTTACATTTGAAAATGTGGAGGGAGGGGTGAAACATGGTATAAAGTGACAATAATAATATACCATAAAACTATAAAATTGAAGAACATCTTTAGGTTACCAGATATATCAGTTCCCAGGTGAGAACAGCAACAAAATCAACCAATTAATTGTAGTTAGGCACTTTGGAGCCTGAGCATACACCTGATAATTACTAATATACTCAGTTGGCAATTTACTATTAAAATAGATTTAGACCAGGCATCACCAAATGGCGGGCTCAGTGACGGTTCTGCCCGGACCCGTGAAAATTATATTATAATTATAATATTAGGCCTAATAAAAAAATTAATCATTCGTGCATGCGCAGCTAATTTAGTTAATACGACAGAAACGTCAGCAATAGCCAAGCCAATAAAATCGATTGTTTACCTTTCAGCGCCAGAGAATGGGGGGGGGGGACTTGAGAAAAGTAGACCGTGAAAACCGAACTTTTAAAGATGAATGGACGGACCAATAAATGTTGGTCCTGCCTGCAGCCAGTTCTAAACCTGTGTGTCTCATATGCTGTGAAACTGTGGCGTTAATAAAAAGTAGCAACGTTAAGCGTCACTATGAGACCAAACACGGATCGTTTGATGAAACATACCCGCAGAAGTCCGCAGTGAGGGCAAGTAAAATGATCGAACTGAAAGCACAGTATGACCGGTCTACCCGTGTCCTCACATGCATTTACAGGCCAGCAACGTGCAGATGAGTGTTCACTTAAGATTGCGTGGATTTTGGCGCAACACAAGAAAGCATTCAGCGATGGGACAGTGGTGAAGGAGTGCTTAAATGCGGCTGCAGAGACTTTACTTGACGGTAAACAAAAAAACGACATGTGTGAAAAAATCAAGCAAATCCCATTGTCAGCTTCAACAACAACCAGAAAATCTGAACTATTAGCAGAGGATGTACTGGCACAGCTTGATGCAGCTGTTCAAAACGCAGTATGCATATCCTTAGCCATTGATGAGTCCACAGATGTAACAGATAATGCCCAGCTTTTGGTGTATGTGAGATTTCTTCACAAAGAGAAGAAAGAGATGTGTGAGGACCTGTTGGGTTTAATGCCACTTGAGACACACACAAGAGGAGAGGATATATATGAGGGGATAAAGGAGATGCTCACAAAAAGAAAGATTAATCTGAAGCAAGTAGTCTCAGTCACCATGGATGGGGCACCTGCCATGGTTGGTAGAGAGAAGGGGGCTGTGGCACGGATGAAACAAGACAACCCTGATCTCATAGCCTACCACTGTATCATCCATCAGACTGTTCTCTGTGCCATTCTGTCTGAAGAGTTTGCTGAAGTAATGAATACCATGATGAGACTCATCAACTTCCTCAGGGCATCCTCATCCCATCAGCATCGACTGCTGAGAAGAATTTCTGAAAGAAATGGAGGCAGATGCAAATGACCTACTACTCCACAACA